GTATTTGCATTTTTATTTTATTTTCCCTTGTTTAGCTGCTGTGAACCCTTTGGTACTCTTTCTGGTGTTTTTTTTAATGGTTAATGGGAAATTTCTATTCTAATTAATGCTCAGTAGTATTTTGCTCTCTTGCTTACTTACATATAGGATCTTGTGTGAAAGTTTTCATTTTGAACAGTCATTTGTTTGTTGTTCAAATGGGTGTTTGATGTTATGGTTCTCTGTTTTGCTTTTGGATATTCCATTTCCATGTTTTCTTTTGCAGATTAAATTTTTTTTTTTTTTTTTTTTTTTTGGGGTGTTTGAAATCTTCTGTCTTGAGTTTATATGAAATTGTGAAGTGGATAAGTAGTAATTAATCAATTCTTCTCTGTACTAGTTTTTCTGGGTAATCTTGGTATTTAATGTTGTTTTATGTAATTAGAAGATTTTAGTGTGATTAATGTGTATTATATAGCTATGAAGTAACTTTTGGCATTTCATTCTCCTGGGGTATTTTTTAACTTGTGATCTTGTAACTTTAGCACTGCAGTGAAATGCTGTTTCAGTTTCTGCGTGTACTAAATTTACCCGGTTTTTGCTGTCCATGTCAGAACAGATTGCTTTAAACGAAGTTAGATTGTTTCCATGGGGATAGATCTTGAGCAGCCTTCAGGAGAATACCATAAGGAAGATAATAGACGTAGTGTGAATAATATAGTTGATGGCAGAGGTGAAGAGAATCATAGAGCTATTGTCAGTGTAACTAATGGTCCTGTAAAGGATAAAGAGAATGCAGGACAGAATGTCAATGGAAGAGTGTCAGATACTAGAAACAAGACAGTTACTAGAGATGAAATTAATTTGAATTCTTCAAGAGATTCTGAACCTCGTGATGGAATGGAGTTTGAATCAAAGGAAGAAGCATTTTCGTTCTATAGAGAATATGCCAAGTCTGTGGGGTTTGCTGCTGTAATAAAGGCCAGTCGTCGATCGAGAGTATCTGGAAAGTTTATAGATGCAAAATTTGCATGCACTAGATATGGGAGCAAACGAGAATCTAGCACAGCTGAAGCACCAGAGTCTGTTTCAAACTCCAGAGAATCTAGTATCTGCAGCTCTGTTAAGAGAAAACGTGGTCGTGCTAGCCGATCTTGGGAAAAAACAGATTGTAAAGCCTGCATGCATGTTAAGAGGCAAGATGGTAGATGGATTATTCGTAGTTTCATTAAAGAGCATAATCATGAAATTTTTCCTGATCAAGCCTATTATTTTCGGGGGCACAGGAATTTTGATTTAGGTACTGGTGATGCTGATGGCTTACATGCTATCCGGAGAAGAACAAAGAAGATGTATGTTAATATGGCCAGACAGTCTGGTGGCTACAAGAAGTTAGATAATCAAAAAGGTGGTGGGACCAATCAATCACTGAGTGGAAAGCATTTATCTCTAGAGGAAGGAGATGCTCAAGTTATGCTTGACCATTTTCTGTATATGCAAGATGAAAATCCTAACTTCTTTTATGCAATCGATCTGAATGAAGAGCAGCGTTTGAGAAATGTGTTCTGGGTTGATGCCAAAGGTAAACTTGATTATGGAAATTTTTGCGATGTAGTATTTCTTGATACCACGTATATCAAGAATGAATATAAATTGCCATTTGTTCCCTTTATTGGTGTGAACCATCATTTTCAGTTCATTTTGCTTGGATGTGCTTTACTTGCAAATGAGAGTAAATCAACCTATGTCTGGCTGATGCGGGCATGGCTAAAAGCAATGGGTGGACATGCTCCAAAAGTAATACTCAGTGACCAGAACAAAGTCTTGAAAGAAGCTATTGCAGAGGTCCTTCCTGATTCTCGTCATTGTTTGTGTTTGTGGCACATATTGGGCAAGATTCCTGAGAAGCTTGGTTATGTGATTAGGCAGCATGATAAATTTATGGTTAAATTTAACAAATGCATTTTCAAGTCTTGGACCAATGAACAGTTTGAAAAAAGATGGTGGAAAATGGTTGAGAGATTCAATTTAAGAGATGATGTATGGTTCCAATCTTTGTATGAAGATCGTGAACAATGGATACCAACATATATGAGAGACATTTTCCTGGCAGGGATGTCTACAACCCAGAGATCAGAAAGTATAAATTCTTTCTTTGACAAATACATGCAGAGGAAAACTACATTGAAAGAGTTTTTAGAACAATACAAAACAATCCTTCGAGAGAAGTATGAAGAGGAAGTAAAAGCTGATTTTGAAACATGGCATAAACAACCAGCATTGAGGTCTCCATCACCTTTTGGTAAACAAATGGCAACTATGTATACTCATGCAATATTTAAGAAATTCCAAGTTGAAGTTTTGGGAGTAGTTGCTTGTCACCCAAAGAAAGAAACTGAAGATGGAGCAATCAAAACTTTCAGAGTTCAAGATTTTGAAGAGGATCAAGATTTCGTTGTGGCGTGGAATGAAATGACATCAGATATATCCTGTTTCTGCCATTCGTTCGAGTTCAATGGCTTTCTTTGTAGGCATGTGATGATTGTACTGCAAATGTCTGGTGTACACAATATTCCATCTCAGTATATATTAAAGCGTTGGACAAAAGATGCAAAGAATAGGCAAACACTGAGAGAAGGGTCTGCTTCTGTTGACTGTAGAGTAAAACGTTACAATGATATATGTGAACGAGCCTTTAAATTGAGTGATGAAGGTTCTTTATCCCAAGAAAGTTACAATATTGCGTTTAATGCGTTGGAAGAAGCTCTGAGAAGTTGTGAGAGTATAAATAACTCAATCCAGAGTGTAATAGAACCAATCTCAGGAGAAACTCATGGCTCTGAAGGAGTAAACCAAGGTAACAGCAAAAACAAGACAAACAAAAAAAATGGTGCATCCAAGAAAGGACAGGTTAGTTGAGTTTGTGGTGATTATTATGCTTATATTCCTGGTTCTTTTTAGACATTTTTGAATGGGCATTTTGTTCGGTATGTCTTTTGATTTCTTTTAGGTACAGTCAGAGCCAGAGGTCATAACCATTGGGGTGCAGGAAAGCTGGCAACAAGTGGTTAGTCATGTTATGTTATTGTTTAAACCTACACTACACATTCTAAAGCATATACTACAATAGGAAAATATGAAAAGAATTTCTTGATGCGGGTTCCGCTTTTGTTGTCAGGCACTTAAATTTATGACCACCCCCTTAGTTGTTCTTATAAATTTCAATAGAGCATACAAGGGATGGTATAGTTTTGTGGCAACCATAATGTTTTGAAAAGGAAAACATTGTTGCTTATCGCAATGTTGTTTATTCACAATTCACAATTTCCTTAAATTTTGGAGTTACTTGTGTGTTCGTTGTAGGAACAACTTGTCTCAAGAGCTCCAACCCTTGATGGTTATTTTGGCAGTCAACAAATTGTTCAAGGAACTGTAAGAGATTTTTCTCATTACAAAAATACAATTTTGGAATTCTGTTGAAGTCTCGGACGACATTTATCGTATGCTTATTAAAGTTGATTTGACCTGTGTCCCTTAAATCTTCTTGTAGGGGCAGCCAAGCACCATAGCCTCAAGCCGTGATCATTATTATAGCAATCAGCATATGCAAGGGCTGGTAGTGCATATTTCATATTCGGCTAATTTTTTTGTATATTTTCATTTAGTGTTGATTATAACTTTCTAATTATTTATCAAATGAGTACTGCAACTTCTTAACTGGAGCCTTTGTTTTTGCCACAGGGGCAACTAAACTCGATAGCTCCCATCCATGATGCTCATTATATAACTCAGCAAAGACTGCATGGGGTGGTACAAAATTCTGTTGTTTTTCAATCTGACTTTGTGGAATTATTATTTGTTTTTATCATTAAAGAAAGGAGAGTCCATTCTCTTGGGGTAATTTTGTCTTATAGACATACTCCAAGGGTTCCTTTGAGTTTGAGGGTTGATATAATCTGTTCCTGTTAGTGCTATTGCTGTTTGTATGTCTTGGTATAGTCAATCATATCGTGTTGCTTGCTTGTAGGGGCAGTTGCATTTCAGACCCCAATCTATTCCGAGTTGTTTTGACATTCCAGATGGTTTGCAAGATACCGTAAGCAAATCCTTACCTAGATTTTCTGGCTTTTTGCTTGGCATGATTATGTACATATTGAGTATTCACCTTGTTCAAGGACCAGTCTACTGTGGGACCCACACAGCTGCACGGCTTGGCATCAAGACATTTGCATTCGAAAGACCTCTCTCGTCAATAGCAATGCATTT